AATCTCTATTCTCTCGTCACTCTAAACGGTTGTAGATCCGGCGACGAGCGTCGATCGTCGTTTTTCTGTGCTGCTCTCCCGTCTCTCTCTTTCCTGCATATCATATCGTCCCGCTTTGCATTCTCTCTCGTCGCCGCACGTGAGTCGTCGCTCTCCCACTATCGATCACAGAAGAAGCAACACCATTGTTCGATTCAGACGGTCACTGTGAGAGACACAGCAGTGTTCACAGCGCCGCTTGCTGAGCATTGGTGGTGTCGTTTGCGATGATTTTTGGGCTGTGATGGTGGTGGGCGTGTGTGCGTTGCTGTTGGGGACGGTGGATCTGAAAATGGAAGCGGTGTTCACAGTTGATGCTTACAATGGTATGGGTGATCTAGTTTTTAGGCATTGGTGGTGTCGTTTGCTGGTCGTGGTGCCTCTGGCTGTGTGCGGTGGTGTTGTATGGGGTGTCGATGGTTGTAGTTGTGTGGTTTTTGTTGTATCAGGGTGTTGATTTGGTTTTTAGACAGCGATGTTGCCTTCGGATAGTGTTGGTAGTTTTGGCAGGGACTGTGGTGGTAAAGGTGGCTGTCGACGTTGGTGGCGGCGGCGGTGGTGGTGGCGTAGTCGGCCATTGTGTAAGGGTGGGGGCAAGTGGCGGTTGAGACATTGGAGGAGGTGGTGGTATNGGGGCAAGTGGCGGTTGAGACATTGGAGGAGGTGGTGGTATGTGACCCAGTAGTTGACCCGTGACAAGCTATTTGTTCACTTGTAACCAATTATTTAACTATGACCTTTAAAATTCGATAATTTGTGACCATAAAATTCGAACGGTGACTCACAATTAATTAAGTTGTGATCGAAAAAATAATATGTGACTTATAAGATTTTGATCTGTGACGAGAAATAAGTTGTGATCAATAATTTGATAATATGGGATTAATGAAATAAACTGTGACTTATAAGATTTTTGATTTGTGATCTCGAAATAATTTGTGATCTACAAAATTTTTGATATGTAATCGATAAACAAATTGTAACATATAAAATTTTTGAGCTGTGACCATAAAATAATTTGTATAGTAAAAAATTATGATTTATGATTGAAAAATAATTGTGACTAACTAAATTGTGAATCTGTGACTACATTATATAAATCCGTGACGGACACTGGAATAGTCGTCGGAATAATTGTAGGAATCGGAGCAGTCGTTGAAAAATTCCACCGGGACGGTTGTCGGAGAATCACATGAAAAGAGTGGTGACCGGAACGGTCGTCGGAATAGTCCCCGGAGTAGTAGGGGTGGTGGAGATGAGGTGGGTAAATTATATTATATTAAAATTAAATATTTAATAATTTATTAAGTCATAAATAAAAATTTAAAAAATCTGATTTTTGAAATTTGAAACATTTTTTCTTATTTTTGAAATGGCACATAGTTAACATCTTAAAAATGAAATTTTCCCTTTAAGTAATTTGCTAATTTGTTTTTAAAAAAATAAAATAATTTAACTAATTCAATAAAAAAAATTATTTAGTTACAATTCTTATTCGGTTCTTGGTCTAGCATCGAGCCCCGACCCAAACCCTTTTAGTTTCGGTTCTTGGTCTAAACAACCCATCGGTTCTCGATTCGAGGATCTTTTCGGATATTTAACTTATGAAGAACGGCTCGATTCGTTCGGTTCGAGACTTTTGGACACCCCTACTAGATCGTAGTCCAATAAGGATGATAACAAATTTTCAGTCGGGTTATGTGCTTATTCTAAATGGTGGTAAGGTCAATTAGAAATTGTTCAAACATGGATTACCGCTAACTTTACAACTCATAGATACTTTGGAAACAATCTCGATTGAGGAATTCGGTAGTGAGTAATAAGCAGTTCCTAGAATTGTTGCTCCAGTAATGGTGTACTTTGATAACAATTGAGCTATTGCTTAAGCGAAGGAACATAGATTTCATCGATAATATGAGTATGTATTGAGGTGCTACCATCTCATTAAGAGTTTGTAGAGAAGATAGAGTGTGCGCCTACTTACCTGAGAAGCTTGAACATGGGATAAGCAGCTCTCGTCTTAGGAATTCATATCTATAAAATTAGATCAGGAAGATGAATTTGACATCTAAGAATAGATCCAAGAGATGCTTGTCTTGTTCAAATCTTTGAACTAATCATAAATCTAATTGTAAAATCACTATCCCAACAGGAACACGACTCTCATGAAAACTAATAGAATACATGGATGATTTGATCTAGTACAAATGGAAAAATTATAATGCTATGCCCTATGTCCAATCTTTGAGACATCATAATGAATTTATAAATATATTTATATTTGTAAATCTATTATTTACTCATGTGCATTCAATGATTTAATACAATGTAACCTATTAATTGCAAGGTATTGCGATTGCAAGATACTCCCTTTATCTCAATTATATAGGCTTGTTATTTTTTCACACGAATTAAGAAAGCTTATTTAATGTCATTGGAAAATTAATTTTTGCCAAAATCTTTCCTAATTTACACATATTTAATTTTCAGTGTGTAAAACTAAATTATTGTTGTAATTAATAAAGAATTGAATTTTCAAGAAGTTTACATATTAAGTGGGTAAAATATAATAAGGGTATATTAGTAAAATATATTAGTAAAAGAACACAACAAAACATTCTATATTAGGAAATAAGCCTATATGTTTGGGATAAGAGAAAAAGGATACTCGACCTATATAATTGGGACGAATGGAGTATAAGTTATAAATATCTTAATCTTAAATTATCTTTGGCCCTAATTAATTACGAGATACAATATCGTAATTACAAATAGATTAGCACGTATAACATTTGTTTCTTATTAGCTAAGAGTGGGTAAATTTAAATGGCCACATGGATGAGTTGTTAGAAGAATAATTCATACCAATGACCTACAACTCATATTTAAAATTTAGATTTTAATCGATACCAAACACGATTTTATGAATAAATCTCAAAAATTGGGGGGCACTTGATACCGCAGGAGCCTCCTAGGTCCGCCCATGTGAGTGTTAGATAGTAGATTTGGTCCTTTGATTTGAGGTCTCATAGAATCTTGGATATTGAGACATTATAACATGCTTTTCATCCGTCTATGTTGATAGACAAATTCCTCAGTCATGGTAGAGTTATGAGTCGAAAGGGTTTCAAACATAATATTTCATTAGTATCAGTAAATGATCATGACATAATATTATTGATTAAATTGAAAAAGACACGTATCCACATTACATAATCAGGTGAAGGGATTATATTTTCATGGCAACCTAGCAGAATGTTTTTGTCATCTCACGTGACATTTCACGTTGCATGGATAGTCTTGAGACATTGTTAAATGTCAATTCTGGACGACGATGTAAATTAATTAATCTAAGTGTATTAACGATAAATTAAAAGGTTTGTGTTAATTATCTTGTTATGATCATATCACGACATTTATCACCTTGAAGGGGAACTTAATAAGTCATACTCAAAAAGAGAGAATTGAAAATATCGGATTGAAATTGGACATTGTGCATATAGGAGATTGTCGGATTAATTATTGGATTCAATTGTTGGACAAATTTAACCGTTGTAAACGAAAGTGAATTAATTGGATTAATTAACTTTGAGCTTGCTAATCCTAATAGGATTAGTATTTGTAGTAATTTATAAATACATAATTCAGATACATTTATTATAACTTCTTGCTAATACAAGAGAAATATGCAAAACCTTAAACCTAATTATGTCAAAATCCAACTAGTAGTCATGAATTGTTCGGGGTGTTGGGATTCCAAATTGTTCTCTTCACATGGATTTAGTTAGAGGTGTGACACATCATATTCAGAATCATCCCACGTTATGAAAATCGTCAAAGATATACCTCCCATCATAGATTATGTCCAAACTAATGTTTTAAAACTCAGCCCAAGCATCGACCGGGAAAAGAGAAAAGGTCAAAAGGTTCAATAAAGGCGGAAAGCCGGCGACAAGCCGGAGGTGATAAATAAATATTTGTAAACATTTAAACTTTATTTTCACAATAATACATAATTAAATTTTTACATCATCAATTCAAAATAAATACAAATATGTCAAATGTATGTTTTTTAATATAAATTTTAATAGTTTTTAATTTTTAGATCACATAAAAACCCATTTCAATTTTACTAAATAATTTATATGATTAAAAAATTGTTGAGCATTCTATAGAAATTGAGTATCGTAGTCATGCACCTGGTGGCCATAAATAATAGTTAAAACGTGTGCTTTATTGAAGTTTGTCAATCACATACTGAACGTGTATTGAAAGTGTGTTTTATTGAATTTTTTTCAATCTCATATTGGAAGTTTATCAATTATGAGATTCAAGAAATGGTAATAAAAGAACTCCATAGGTAGAAAAGTGGGTAAATGGGATTCCATCTCTAAGGTAACCTTTTTATTGTATATTAGATTTTTTAATTAAAAAAAGGGTTTTGGAAACTAGTCCAAAAACCGTGACTGGTTCCCAGTTTCTGGTTTAATTGATCGATTTTTCGGTTATTTGACTAGATATTAATTAATTGGTTATTTTAGTATAATCGGACCGGATTTTGGTCCAGTTCCCAATTTTACCTGTTGAACTGGTCATTCGTATCCGATTCTATAAACATTGGTCTAAAAATTAAAAAATACGACTTTTGAATATGAATTCTTCAATTTGGAACTATACTTATTTAAATAAATACTAAAAAATATATGTTTGGAAATTAGGTGACACCTCTACAAAGAATATCTTGATAATAGAATTTGTAAACAACTCGTGAAGATTTCATCAATAAATAGAGAGATTTGGTTTACAAATTGAAGCGAAATTCACCCCTCGTCCATAAGGACCGAGTGCAATCTCTACAAGAAAATCATATAGAAAACAAAAAAAAAAAAAAAACTCAGCATTACAATATTGAGAAAAACAAATTTTCGAATGGAAGTGTTAATATATGTTGGAATACTGGGCTATCGTTGACATTTGTAGTCATGAAACGATTGCCGGAAAACCCAGTTGGCAAGTGATTTTCTTCGCAAAGTCTTATTCCAGAATTGATTTCCAATGTGGCCATTAACGTTAGTCTTGCATTCAGAATTGACAAAGACATTTATTCGTTGCATTGCGTGGTTTAGGGCTTCTTCTGACATGTTCGCGAAGCAAACACGAAACCAACCAGGCTCAGGGCAATGACATGAAGATCCAGGAGATATATTTAACCCAACTTCATAAATAATTTTCTTCCAAATCTCCATCTCTGCTTCAAAAGTATTGGAACTCAAAAGGTGCCTCATGTCTACCCAACAGAATAAACCAGCATTGCTTTTTAGACACCCAATACCAGCATTTCCAAGACCTCGAATCAGCATTTCCTGCCTATGCTTAAGCCGTTTTCGATTTTCTGAAACATAAGTTTTCGTAAATTTTTTGTCTGAAAGCATGGCTGAAAGAAGATACTGAGTTTGAGAAGAAACCAATCCAAAACTCGACATTTTTGTTGCTGCAGATACAACCATTTCATTGCTAGAGTAAATTGCTCCAACTCGAAATCCTGGAATACCTAAATCTTTGGAGAGACTGTATACTAAATGAATTTGGTTCCAAATTTGTGTATTCATGTAGTTTTTGTTCATTAGAACCTCCATTATGCTCACAAAGTCTGGCAAGTTAAAAACCAGGCCCGAATAGATTTCATCACTTATCAAATGGATTCCTTTGGCATCAATGAAGTCTACTAGGAGATTAAGCTCGTGCAGGCTCAATGTTATTCCAAGTGGATTTGAAGGATTAGTTACTAATACGCCTTTAACTTTAAGATTTCGTCTTTCCGCTTCTTGATAAGCTTCTTCTAGAGCAGATCCAGTAATTCTAAAGCCATTGGAGCTATTACACTGTATTGATACAATTTCAACTCCAGTTCGCCACTTAAGGTCTCTGTCGAACCTGCATTTATAAAAATTGTACGTGTCTGGCATTAGATGAAAAATAAACGTGTTGAAGCTATAATATAAAAGAACAAGTGTGTCGTCCATATAACAACTTTAACTATTAGACGAGGTAGTTTAAGGAATACGTACCCAGGATAGTAGGGGGTGGGGAGAAGAAAAGCATCACCAGGATCTGCAAGGCAAAATATAAGAGTTTCATTAGCTGAAGTGGCGCCAGCAGTGAGTACTAAATTTTCTGAATCAAGCCGAACTTTGTTTCCTCGGATTTCTTCCATAAATTCAGCCAATGCCTGCATGGATTTACATATAGAAAAGTTAGATGCATATTGATTATTCTCATTGATTTACATAATACGAATGAACTAAATGTAAAAACATTTTTATAGAAAAATTGCAATGATCCATTAAAAATATAAGTAGAACTCATATGCAATTTTTGCATGTAAAACCCGTCAAACTCCTAGGGTTCTGGATGGTAGAATTATTATTTTTTATTTATTTATTTAAGAAACACCTTACATATTTTCGTATATGCATTTACGCCTTTATCCGGGTGTGTTCTATTGTTAAGGGATAAAATTTAACGTCGAATTAAGATGAAAACATAAACCAATTTATAAAGGATTGGACTACTTTTAAAAGTTGACATTTTAAGATAAAACCCAGATCTTTAACATGGATTCAAAACTCATTAAACTTCAAAGAGCAATTCGATCTGATTAAGATTCAAAAAATGAGCACATGAATTTAAAGATTGATTTACTCAAATGAGTCACCATCTTGTAGGGCATATTAAGGGATAAAATCTCACAACGAATAAAGATGAAAATATAGACCAATTTATAAGGTTTTGGACTACTCAACTTAATAATGTTGACTTTTTAATATGGAACTCAAATCTTAACACTGATGATGCCAATCTATCATAATATTATTATTTTTTACGTAAAAAAAAGTTCATGTCGATTGAGTTGTTGGGTAATACAGATTTAAAATAGTCGACTTGATATTTCTATGCATACAAAAAATAATAATAATAATTTTGCCAATTTTCAAAAATTCACTTTCAACTATATATTTCATCATATTCACAATTTTTATCATCATTTTAACCACACATTTTATCAACTTTTATATTTTTAACTAAACCAAATATGGGCTAATTGAAATTATTACGTTCTTAAAAGCTGGGAGGCCATGATAATCTTGAAAAAGAGCAAGCTCTTTGAATATGGACTCTCCATTTTTCTTGAATCCAACTGCGTCTGGATTTTGAGCAAGCCATGATTCGAGCAGATCGAAAGAGAGCTGTAGAAAATGTCAAAATCGATCAGCTAAATATAAGAAGACACTTGTTTGAAACAAGTATGAAATTAAAGAATAATACCGGTGACATTCCCCCCCATGTGTGGGAATCCATGCATTGATGGAAAAAGGTGGGGGGAATCAATTGTGTAAATCATGTCACGTGGAAGGATGTAAATCAAGGTGTAACCCATAATGTATTTATAGGAGGACTGAAAATTAAAATAGGACTTGTAACTAAATTCTATGGACTCGTTTTCTTTAAATTTTTTTTAACACTGGTACCTGGTTCTCTGCAAGACCCATCTGAATAATTCCTCTAGGATTTCGAACCTCGTTATATGGGTTCTTCTCGTACTCCTGCCATCCTAGGAAGTACGAAGAATCTTGGCCGTGTGCGTTGCTCTTGACTTTCTTCGATAGCAGCTTCATTTTAGAACAGACTGTACTGCAAATGGGAAAAGTCACACCTATGATCTGAAAAACAAATGTGCCAAAAATATTATTTAGCGCAGAAAAGTTTTTGACAGAGAGTGTGTGTTTATGTTGAAGAATGTGGCGTAAATAAAGGCTATATATAGGAGTTACAGCAGTAAATATTTTGGCACATATCCTGTCTTAAAATCTTTTGGCCAGAAACAGATTATGTTTACGTAGATACTTTTTGCTTAATTCTTTTTCCACTAAACTTTTTACTTTTTCACAAGTTTATTTTTGATCTTAACAAAAAATAAATTTTTACAAAATCATTGGACTGGTCCCTATGGCCACACTGGTCCGTTTCTTACTTTCATGTCGACCTGTCTCTCTCTCTCTCTCACAAACCTTTTTTTCCTTAAATACATATAGTGATTTTGATTCTATTGTTGAAACAACCTGACATCCTTTTTACTTGAAGTCAACCTAATATTGCCTCATTTTTAAAGCTCGATATAATTAAGAGAATAAAGTTACTTGCACAATTTTTGTTAACTACATTGTTGACAATCCATGTGTTGTAAAGATTCGTGCTTTTGATTTAAAAAATAGTTTTTGACATAAATTGTGTAGATTTCTGTCAACTCATAATTGACAACAATGGTTGTACATGTAGCATGGTTCTAATTAAAAATAAATATATTTCTTCCTTATTAGTGGTGTCTGTCTTTAGAGTATGCAATTCAATATAACATGAGTTAAAGTCTTGTCACCGATCATGTATAACAATTAGATGAGGTGATTTATTGTATGCTCAAGCAAATATCTTCAAAATTTTATCAAACACATTCATATAGATTTCTCTGATTGTGTCTTCTGTATGGAACTCTTGTTAATTACAGATTGCGAAGGAAAATATATTGTTGAAATGTACATTTTACTTATTATAGACTTCAACTTCAAGGTCATTTTTGCCTTTGAACCAAGTATAAATCATTTCCTTAACTAAAATTTGAAACGAATTATGTAATTTGTACTACAATTTTGGTAATCAACATGCAAGTAGCAGAGAATTTTTTTTTAATAATTATCAGCATTATTTCCCAAATACAGATCTTGAAAACCTGTATATTGTCGATGTATTATCAACATTACTATTAAAATGAAAGAATCAAACTAAAACGGTTTCCTATAAACATCAGCAGGAATAAAAGAAAAATATAAATGAGCAGCAGTCCTCTACAATGTAAGGAAAATAACGTGGGAGCTCTAAATGTTATGCCACTCGATTAACTCCTCGATAGATGTGAGTGACGACAATATCCATCTATGAAAACGGCAACTACTTAACCCAAACACTTGCGATGCATTTGAAAACCCATTGTAAGTCATTCCACAAGCAAGAGCTGATGGAGCAGTCTAGTCTTGCCCCTAGAGAATTGTCCAATTCGTCCAGTAAGTGCTCTTGTGGTCAACTGCCCCGTTTCACCTATCATGAGCATCTTGTCATGTGTAAGATAAATTCTTAATAATTAAATGTGATTTTTTAAGCTGTTCAAATTTTTCGGGACAAGCAGCTTCAGGAGAAAAGGAATCTCTTGGTTCACATGGGAATGCATCTGTTGTATCAGATAGTTCCTCCGGAGGAGACTACCATGGGATGGGGATATTTTGAATAAACCAGAGTACGTATATAGGATACACCGATGCTAAAACCTTTTCTCAAGATATCAATACAGTTATTGTATTTTCTTAACAAAGTAAAACACGTAAGTAATTATCATTCATTTGGCTTTTCTTTCCATTTTTTCTATTAAATTCAAGATTCAGATAAAACCATAAAATGTACAACGTTTCAGTCAAGAACACCCAAAATATATGCACATATAATTCACCTTAGCCTACAAACAACTATGGGAGAGCATTAAGGGTGGGGGACCCACGTTATTGATGAGAGGGAGCAAATGGTCCTTGGTGGTGTCTCCTTAGAAACATAAGGGAATGGTCTTCAAGTGGGTGTCATGTTAAGTGGTCACCCTAAGCTAGGATTCCAATGGTTCCTCTGAGAATAATATCGATGGGTGTGCCGTGTGGGGTGGAGTGGGGACCGTGGGGTGGGGTTACTTAAACAAGGGTTTTCCACATGCTCTAATCACCCTTCGTCTGCGACAAACCACGTGGCCCTTATAAATCAATTTATTTCACCATTCTTATGTACAATAAGAAACTTCTTTTGTTATTACAACAAAAATAACCATTTGCAACATGTAAAAAGTAACATTGGTAATTAAGTGTTGCTAAAGGTGCATATCGCAACATTCTAATTAGTGAATATTACAATTGATTAACATAATTGAAATTTGGCAAAGTTTTTTAAATAAATGTTGTTAATGTCGTCTTTTGCAACGTTTATTAAGTGTTGTCAAAATTTTTATTTATTGCAACATTTATCGGGTGTTGCTAAAAAAATCGTTCTATAGCAACGTTTACTGACAGTTGCTACTACGTAGATATATAATCTTCCACAATGTTCGCTTAATATTGCTAAAGGTTCATTTTTTTGCAACGTTTTATAAATGTTGCAAAAAGATAAACTTATCGCAACGTTTCTTAATCGTTGTTAACATGATTGTATGGATTAATTTTCGTGATATTTGTTAAGTGTTGTTAATATAGACATTTCGCAACATTGCTAATAAGGTTAAAATAGGCTAACATTTATAAGTTTAATTAGGCTAACTTTTTGCAAAGTTTATAAGATGTTGCAAAAATATGAGGGAAAAAAAATCATATTTGAGGTGTATTCTTTACCTCAATTCAAAAATAAGGTAAATNAAAAAATCATATTTAAGGTGTATTTTTTACCTCAATTCAAAAATAAGGTAAATAATTTAAAAATTCAAAAATCAGGTATTTATTTAATTAATTATAATATTTATTAAATAAAGATAATAAAGTCACTTTTTGTGATTAATTGTCATATATTCATAATTTTAAGTTACAGATTTATTTACTGGTCACATATCGTCAAATTTTTTGATCCCGAATTATTTCGAGGTCACGTATCAAAAAATTTGTAGGTCACAAATTATTTCGAAATCACAGATTTTTAAATTAGTTGGTCACATATAATTTCGAGGTCACAGATTATTAAATTTTTAGGTCACATTTGAGTAATTGATCACAGATTAACAAAAATTTGGTCACATACTACCGCCGCTTGGTCACAGGTCACAGATCGACCAAGTGCTTGGTCACAGATCGCAGCCACCACAGCCACAGCCACAGAACATTTGCAACAGCAGATCCGCCACCAACGATATATATATATATATATATATTTGCTGTTTTAGAATCTTTTGACCAGATTTATGTAGATATTTTTTGCATAATATTCGTTAATTCTACTTAAGAAAAGCTAATCAACTGGTTTTTCTTTAATATTGTAAGGATATGGTTGATGTAGATTTCGTTAAATGTGATTTTTTTAGAATATTTTTTTTAAAGAAAAGCTATATGTTCATGTTCTAAATTATTTTATTAAAATAATGTGTTATTGAAAATGAGTTTGGAGAGTTTACGTTGCGAACAGGGGCTAAGCACATGTACTGCACTTGAGGTCTATTAATTGTAGTATTGATTAATGTACAAATGGCTCTAAAATGAATTAGTAAATATTAACTAAAAGAAAAGAGAATCATGAAAAAGCAGGTCCTTTTCACGGAAAGAAATCTCAACGTATAATGTCGAAAGTGGAACACAGCCCATAAAAAACTGGGCTGGTTACATGTTCCCGGCCACACTGGCCCATTTCTTACTTTCTTGTCGCCTTGTCCCTCTCTCTCTCTCTCACAACACACCATTTTTTTCTTTTCAAACCATGATTTTGATTCTATGGTGGAAGCAACCTGACATCCTTTTTCACTTGAAGTCAACCTAATGCTGCTGCTCATTCCAGGAGATTTTAAGGGTCGGTATGATTTAAAAATAAATACTTTTTCTTTACTCTTTAGCGTATGCAATTCAATGTACCATCGTAATATGTGATTATTGCAATTTTGAGTCTTGTTCTTGATCATTTATAACAGTTAAATGATTGGTTTGTTCTATGCTCGAGAAGATATTCTGCCATATATCTTTAAAATTTATACTAAAAAATGGTAACAAAATTTTATCAATATGCTTTTAAATATCTTTCTGAGTGTGATCTATATGGAACTCAAGTTGATTATTGATTGCAATGGAAGACAAATTTGATCTGAACTTTTAAAAGAAATTGAATTAACAATCAATATGCAAGTAGAAGAAATGTTTTAATGGTTATCAAGCATTATTTCCCAAATATGGATCTTTTTGAAAACCTATATATTTTCAATGTATTATCGAAATTATTATTAAAAAGAAAGAATCAAACTAAGTGCTACAAAAATCATCCAAAATAAGACATAAATGAGGAGCAGTCGTCCACCATGTAGGGACAACAATGTTGTGAGTTCTAGATGCTATTTGCCGCTCGATTACCACCTCTATTGATGTGAGTGACAACAATACCCATCTATAAAATCGGCAAGTACTTAACCCTAACACTTGGGACGAATTTGACCACCCCATTTAAGTCATTCTGCAAGCAAGAGTTGATGAAGCAATCTTGTCTTGGTCCTAGAAAAATGTCAAAGTAGTCCGGTAAGTACTCTTGTAGTTGATCGCCACGTTTCACCTATCATGTCATTCTTTTTAACGATTTAAGTGTCAGGTTAGTCCACTATAAGAAATAGTTACTATATTTTCTTAAGGATCTTAATACATGTACATCAAAATTTATATAATGAATTATATAATGTCGCATGACACTCCATCATTTATCGGTTTAAAATACAGTCAACTCTTTCTTCAATTTTTTCCCTCCACATCAAATTATATAATTCATTATGTACATTTTTTATGTACAAGTAGCAATTCCCATCAAATTGGGGCTATATATAATTTATATATCTAATAGCCTTAGCCTACAAACA